AGGCGATGTTACGGAGGTGAGGGAAGGTAGAGCGGGTCATGGCTTGAATGTGTGATGGACTGGTTTGATGGGGTTACGGAGTTTTGTTCAGGTGAGTATCTGGTGGCAGAGTTTTGAATTAGTTGAATTTTGTGTATGGTGGAGCCGGGGAGACTATCAAAGAGGGCATTGGAATAGCCCAGCCGGGAAGTGAAGAAGGCGTGTATGCGGGTTTCGGCCACTTTGGTTGTGAGGTACGGATGGAGGCTGGAGCAACAACTAGACAAACTACATCTCTTCAGTCTTGAAGAGAGACATCTCAGAGAAGGGACCTTCTAGAGGTGTATAAGATTCTAAATGGGATTGAGAAAGCAAACATCCTCCCGACATGCAAATGGTGGTTTCAGGACAGACACTGGGTAGTGTTTCTTTAGATAGAGGGTGGTTATCAACTGGAGCAGGTTACCAGGAAGGTTGGTTGAGGTCAGGACACTGGACTCATTCAAGAGACAGCTTGATGCTCTGATGGGAAGATGGTAGGATGAGTGGGTACTTTTGAAGGATGAGATCAAATGGGCCGAAAAGGGCCTTCAACTCCCAAACTTTCATCTACAAAATATGCAGTCAAAAAAACACTTTACAGTGAACTTTATTGAGATGTGGAAGATGCTTTATTGAAAGTGAGGATTATTATTACATTTATTATTAGAATTATTGCAGCCTGCAGTAAATCGTTACTGGGCTTCAGTATAGGTTGTGCTCGGGGAAGGGAGAAAGGGTTGAATGACTGTTGTCATTAGCATGCAGATAGCAGAGGAAATATTTACACCGCCTCGCCGTGCTGTGAACAAGGAGAGTGTGTGGGAAGCAGTTGTCAACAACAACAAAATGATATTTATATAGCACCTTTCACGTCGGTAAGATATTCCATGTTGCTGGACAATCAGTGTTTCGGACCCGAGCTGGGGGTCGGGATCAGGGAGGGTGAAGGGCAAGGGTGGAAGGAGGGTGATAGAAAGCATGGTCAAAGAGGAGGGTCTTGAGATGGGTCTTGAAGGAGACAAGGGAGGCGGCAAGGCAGAGGGACTGCAGAATGGAGTTCCAGAGGGTGGGGGCAGAGTGGCTGAAGGCTCACCCACCAATGGTGGGGCGGGGAACGTAAAGCAGGCCGGAGCCCGCTGAGAGGAGAGAGCAGGCAGGTTGGTAGGAGGTTGTAGAGGTAGGGGACGTGAGGCCATGGAGGGCTTTGAAGGTGAGGACCAGGATCTTGAACTGTATGCTCTGTGTGATGGGAAGCCAGTGGAGTCCAGCGAGGATGGGGGTGATAGGGTCACGGAGCCTGGTGCAGGAGAGGACACGGGCTGCAGAGTTCTGGATGATCTGCAGCCTATGGAGGGAGGAGTTGGGGAGGCCGATAAGTAAGGAGTTTGCATAGTCAAGCCTGGATGTTATGAATGTGTGTATTAGGGTTTTGGTGGCCTGCGGTGTGAGACAGTGGTGGAGCCGGGCAATGTTGTGGAGGTGGGGAAAGGCAGAGCGGGTCATGGCATGGATGTGGGGTAGAAAGGATAGTGGAGGGTTTTTGTCTGACTTGATGTCTGACGGGCAAGCTGTGGTCCTGGAGTCAAGGGTGGAGGCAGAGACTCAATTGACTCAATTGCCATGTTGGGAGCAGGAGATTAGTTTTGATGGAGCGAAACGTTGAAAAAACGGTGGCGTTTTGTGTGTAGGCGCGTGTGTGTGCAATAATTTTTGCCTTTATTTGCTCCATGCCCTCCACTGGAGGCACGTGTCTACCCTATGACACCTCGACCAGGAATGCAGAACATTTGGCCAAAACATACAGCTCCACAGTTATGTGTTGACAGCTTTGCCCATAGCTGTTTTCTGCTGAACAGTTCATATTATTTCCTTCTATTTAATGGGACTTTCTCAGTATTTAATGAGGGGGCAACTTCTCTATGCTTAATGGGGGAAATGACCTCTAAGTTAAACGTTGGGGTGGGGGGGGAGGGGGTGTTTCTCCAACCCCAAGCCAAATGCCGAACAGTGCCAATTTGCTTTGCAGAATATTAACTTTGCAGAATATTAATATGGTTGGGGTGGGGGTGGGATATTTCTATGTTTAATGGGGGGGGGTGTCTTCTCAAACCATCATTTGGTGATGGTTGGCAGGCTGCTTGACGGATAGAGGGAGAGTGGAGAGGGGGCAGAAGAGGCATCATAACTGAGCCTGACACAGCCCCCACCGTCTGGACCTAGCTGTTTCTCTCCTCTCTTAACCCAAAGTGCTGAGGCCCGCTAATTCAGCGCGGTCCTAACTTGCAGCCTGGGATCTTTGCTGGTTTGTGTGGCTCGGCTACTCCCGGGCAAGTTTGCTGAGACATTGGGAAGTTGGTTGAATTTTTTTTAAAAAGACTTATCGATGACGTTTTCCCTCTGTATCATCACCTAACTGTGGTTACGGTGAGTACACGAGCAGAACACAGTGTACTAGATTGCTGTGAGAGTAATCAGCCACAGAGGATAGCACAGGGCACGGTGACTCCTGTTTACAAAATGATGCTGTGGATCCACGAAGAGTAGACGCTGCATTATAAAGGGGCCACAAAAATAACTGGCCACTTCCAGGACGCCGCTGATGTCGCTTCTGGGCAGACTGGCCAGCTTCCTGCGTGTATAAACCCACATTATGTTCAATTGTATTATTTTTTTTCCAGATCATTATCCCATTATTTGGCTGTGCTATGATATGTAGATTCTGCCTGTTGCAGAACAAATCGATTTTAAAGTTCCTCACGGCTCAGCTGGCTCGGGTCTGCTCCCTTGCACAATCGACGACCGTGCCTTCAGCCACCACACCCTGAATCTCTAGCACCCCCTGTCTCAATCCCTCCATTGTGCCCCTTCTTTGCCCATCTTCAAATCATACCCAAAGACTTTCTTTTTTGACCATGCCTTTTGTCACCTCCCTGCCCTTTTCGGCTTGGCCAGCCACTGTTAAGCGCTCTGAGATGCACAGGTCAAGGACGCCATATAACTGCAAGTTGTTGTTGTCTTTGATTCAGGTGGACATAAAGGGACTGCCACGACCTCTCTATTTCAAAGCTACGTAAAGTCTCCCCCAGAACTACATTGGAGTTTCAGCCTCAACTATTAGCTAGTCTCTTTTTTATATATATATATACATATATATAACACACAAACAAATGTTCATAGTCCCGATGAGGGGATTTGGACCCATGACCTTCTAACTCTTGAGGCGAAATCACCACTGACTGAGCAAGGTTAACACACAAGTACAAATTCAGATTCATTGGCTGCACAATGTTGTTTACGGAATGTCACTGGCACAGTTTAGTCTCCGCCTTTGCTTGTACGATGATGTTCTCCGCCTTTGCTTGTACGATGATGTTCACTTTCGTTTCTAATCATTTATATTCTGAGAAGCGCTTTGAGGCTTTCCTTTATCATGCACACAAAAGACGCCTGTGTAAATGCAAGGTATTATTATCATAATCTCTCGCCCGCTCTTTCATCTGGTAAATCTCTCCACCTTTGATGCACGAATGCCTCTGCCCATATATCGCGGGTAACTGCACAGACTTGTGTGTGCAACAATTTGCCTTGTTACTGATGTCTGGGTTCAAAATGGTTAGTCATTCTGACAGCAATATTGGCCTGTAGCTCAGAACAAGCTTAGCTGTGTTAGCATTTAAGTTGAGAGAGAGATATAGAGAGAACTTGTTTTTTTCTCTTTTAGATATATATATATATATATAAATGTTTTCTTAACATACCGGCATCTCCGGTAAACAAAAATATTTGAGGCGTTCCTGTGTAATAGAATTGCAGCCATTCAGCACAGAGGGCTGACTGCTCAGCAGAAAATATATACAGAATGCTGCAGCACAGTGTTTGCTGTGTGTAGGAGCCTGTGAATGAATGAAAGGCAGCGTTATGTTAGTTACCTGTTTTATTTGCTTTGCTTTGTCTGTGAGTATTCCTGAGGCGCTGGATTGTGTAGAACATTTGGCCAAAACATACAGCTCGACAGTTGTGTGTTGACAGCTATACCCATAGCTGTTTTCTGCTGAATTACTTAGAATTATTTCCTTCTATTTAACGGGACTTTCTTTGTGTTTAATTAGGGGGCAACTTCTCTGGTTAATGGGGTGGGGGGTATCTCTGTGTTTAATTGGGGGGTTCTTTCTCTACAGTTAATGGAGGGGGGGGCACCTCGGTGTTTAATGGGGAGATGACCTCTATGTTGAAAGTTGGGTGGGTGGAGGGCATCGTCTCAAAACCTAAGCCAAGTGCTGAACAGTAACAATTAGCTTCACCGAATATTTAACTTGAGTTTAAAAGTTCTCAGTCTCTTGTTATTCAAATAACTTGGCTGCTCCTAACCAGCTAACTCCTAACACAAAGCAGAGTTGGTCGTCCATCATCCGTGTTGCACCGAGTCTCTCCAGAGCTCTGTTCCTCACTTTCGGTTTAATTAAATCGTATTCCATTTTGAAGATACTCAGCGAACATTGATGTGCTTCACGCCCACCCACCCACTCCCCAACCCCGATCTGTGCCACCATCGGCTGACGAGCTTTCAGCCATCCTGCTCCGTTCTCTGGAACTCCTTCCTCATCCTCTCTTTCTCCTCTTAAAGCCAGCCTTAAGACTCACCTCTTTGACCGCACTTTGTCATCTCCTTACCCACCTCCGGTGCTCAGATATAATTATTTTAATAAGGTGCTGCAATAAGCCAAAATTCCATACTAGTCAGTAATAATAATAACCCTTGCATTTGATATAGCGCCTAATCATGTCTTTGAAATGTCTCAAAGCGCTTCAGAGAATATACCGTAAAGTGAATTGACTGTATATTTTGTGGGCGAAACCCGGCAGCCAATTACACACAGCAGTGTCCCACAAACAGTCATGTATTGAGTGACCAAATTACTATTATTATTATCATTAAACACAGTGTTAATCTCTCTCTCTCTCTCTCTCTCACTTTCCAGGAGCAGAGTCTATGGGAAGACAGCGTACCTTACTGGAGGAGTTTGTGCTCAGCAGTGGAGACACCCTGGAGCTGTCTTGCAACACTCAGGGTTCCTCGCTGGCTACCAAATGGGTGAAAGACGGACTTGACATTGTGCCTAGCAACAGGAGCCAAGTGGAGCAGAGACTACTAAAAATCATCAACATTTCCTACGACGACTCCGGGCTCTACATTTGCAAGTTTTTGCAGACCCATGAGATTCTGAGCAATTTCACAGTGAGAGTCACTGGTGAGTGTCAGTTCTCAATAACTTCTGCCCAGAGCAGTGCTGGCTTGTATTAATCACTTTGCTTTCAGACACGTCAGGGCAGCAAAGAGACAAGAGGGCACATGTTCAGGGTTGCATAGGGCAACTTCAGCACAGACACAAGGCGGTATTTCTTTACACGGAGGGTAATTAACGACTGGCAAAGGTTAGAATGAAAGATGGTCGAGGCCAGGAACCTGGAACTCCTCGATGCTGCTATTGGAAGGGCAGGAAGGTTGATGTTCTGGAAGAAAGAGATCAAATGTGCCAAAGGGACGTCTTCATCCGAATCTCTCTTGTGATCTCGTGCTGAATGGAAAATAATGACATCTCTTGAGATTAAACATACCTAGCTCCCTCCGATGGTTCATTTTATAAAGGCACTGCCCAGTGTGAACGATTGAATCCCGTTTGTGCTGTGTTCGCTGATCCCACTCAAGACAGCAATGCCATAGGCTCCAAAAAAAAACACAAAAAAAAACTAGCTGTTAGCTTGTCAAAATCAGTCATGGGCTAGTAAAAAAAAATCTGTGAAAAATCTGCAATGTGTTACTAAACGATCCGCCAGGTAGGATACCTGCCACTGATCACTTTCCAATGCTCCTCTCAACTCTCCACTGAAAGGTGATTGTGGAATTTGAGGGAAGTCAGGATGTGGCTCAGGTGCAGTAGGATATCCGGCTGATACTCGCTTCACCGACAGAACACACAAACCCTCCACTTGCAGTGTAGCCTGTTAAGCACTTTGAGGTGTCCTTGTGATGTGAAAGGCGCTGTATAAACTGCAGGATTATGATCTGTCCTTCAGATAAGGCGTTAAATATTATTATTATTAAACCAAAGTGCTATCAGATGGGCCCAGAGGGCAATAGACAGAGCTCCCTGGAAAGGTGGAGATTGTAGTGTTACATCAGATGTTGTCAGCAACAGATGAACAAATAACTAAAAGTTTAATTTAATTTGTAATAAAATACCTTAGAAACCATTAAGATTCAGAATCCTTGCATATGTATTCTACTTATACATGGACATTTCTTGTATCTGGAATGGAATGTACACTCTCTCTCTCTGGAGGGACACATCCTGTTTACCTAATTCTGGAAAGTATTGGACGCAGGTTGGCAAGAGCCAAGGCTTGGGGACCCGAATGTACATTGGGGTAACTGCTGGAGTTTAACCAGCTAAAACCACATAACTTACCATTGAAAACACGATATGGCAAGCTTCCCACATTGTCCAGTTAGGACCACCCTACTTGTATGTTTGTTTGTTTGTATGTATGTATGTATGTATGTATGTGTGTGTGTGTGTGTGTGTGTGTGTGTGTGTGTATGTATGTATGTATCAATACATACACAGAACACATGATAACACACAGATATTCCCTAGAATACAAATCTCTTCATTGCGATACTCCCCAGGCAACTCTTAGATCAGAGAGATATTTGATGACTCATTGCACAAGACGGAAAGTCTAGATGCAGAGACACAAAAGATCCAATGGATTCAGTTCAGGAGCCAGTGTAAATAAAGTGTTAAGTCTCTGCAATCAGATCACACAAAAAGCCACGCCTTTGCCGGCTTATCAACACCAAACCACATAACACAAAGCAGTGCTGTATACATGAGCTGTGTGGGTCTCGGATCCAATCCTGGCAACTCTCAGCTCCTGACATTGAAGTGGAGACTTTCTTTTACACACAGGGCCCAGCTCATTGAATCTTCACTGAAAGCTTTGTATGTTCTTTAACCCCATCCTCGCCAGGTTCCATTGGCAAAATGTTGGAAAACTATCCTTAAACTCATGGTTAATTTACATGTGTGAGGTTAAAGTGTTTCGGATGTATGTTTGTGTTCACGGGTGTTGGTGTGTGTGTGTTGGGGGAGTACGGTTGTGGTTAGAAAGGGGAGTGTTGGTACGGGTTTAGGCGTGTGGGTGAGGGGGGGGGCGGTTTTGTACGTCTGCGTGGGGGTGTGGTGCTCCCTCCCTTCCTTCAAGGCCCATCACAAAATACAGTCACACTTCACAGTAAACTCCTGTGCTTTGCTTTGAGACATCCTCCTGATGTGAAAGGCAGTGTGTCAATATAAGAATTATTTTATTTTTCATTTCCTTTGTGTCTTTCAGACTCGTTTTCCTCAGGCAATGATGAAGACGATGATGATGGTTCTGATGACACAGGTAGGGAGATAATTGTGTCTGAAACGTCCCAATTTATAAACTGCCCCATGTTCGTTGCCAATTAATCAAGGGCACTAAGGAGATCTGAGCCATCAAATCTCTCCCATTCTTAGGCTCGAGACTATTCTGTTTTACAATTTTGAAAAATTCTTCGTAAATAAGGAAACCGGTGTCCAAATTAAGAATAAATTTTAAGGATTTTCGCAAATTATCGTCACTCTGAAATTTTAAGGCAAGGAACGGCCTTAAGCCTAAATCTGTGGGGAAACGCGAGCTTCAGAGCTCCTCAAAGCCATGGTCTTGCAGGTAAATGTGAGGTTGGTGTCGGACGATAAAATTGTTTGTTCAGTTTATGGCTGTTTGTGTCTGAAGTTCATGTGTGCAAATAGACTGCCATGTTCGCCAACCAAATACACAGTCACTGCACCTGATGAAAAATCTCTGTGAAGCGCTTTCTTGACAACATGATGAGGTGCTTTATCAAATGCCAGGATTATTATTTTATTATAGGGGATTCCCTGGAGGAAACTCTGCATTCGCTCTTTATCGCCACCACATTTCAGAGAGGCATTTTCTGTGTATCATGAGTTGACTTATTTCCAATCATCCAGTTTATGTGCAAGCCTCAGTGAACTGACCCTGTGTCCCAAGGCGCTGTCTATCTGCTGCCCACGACATCCTCTTTGTGAGAAGATCTCTGTTCAACTCAGCATTCTCTCTGAGGTGCTCTGGCATCAACTAGTCGCCAGGAGGCCGGGCTGTCCAGCTCAATGTATCTGAACTCTGGTTCAACCAGTGCACACGGTCAACACTAACTGCTGTGTCTGAACTGATTCAAAACACACGCCATCAGTCAGTGAGGAGCTGTTTGTATGAGTGAGTGTGTGTGTGTATATATAAATGTTAAATGCGTGTGGAGTAAGTATTTGTACAGGGTGACCAAAAAGTCTTACTATAAAATGTCTACCCAGTTATCTAAAACAATCATTTATTTAAGACCTTTTAGACATTGTAATGGTACTGCGACTTTTGGTCACCCTGTGTGTGTGTGTGTGTGTGTAGATGTAAATGTGTGGGTGTGTGCAAGAGTGTGTGTGGAGGTGTAAATGTACGTATATAAATGTAAGTATGTATGTGGGTGTGTTAAAGTATGTGCATATGTGGGTGTGTGTATTATGGGGATAGATGTAAGTTTGTGTGTGTATAGGTGTGTATGTTAGAGTAAGTATGTGTGTATATGAGTTCGGAATCTTGGCGTATTGTTTGACCCTCAACTATCCTTTCTACCCCACATCCATACCATGACCCACTCCACCTTACCCCACCTCCACAACATCGCCCGGCTCCACCATTGTCTCACAGCGCAGGCCACCGAAACCGTCATACACGTATTCATAACATCCAGGCTTGACTACGCATACTCCCTGCTTGTCGGCTTCCTCAACTCCTCCCTCCATAGGCTGCAGATCATCCAGAACTCTGCAGCCCGTGTCCTCTCCCGCACCAGGTTCCATGACCCTATCATTTCCATCCTCACCCAACTCCACTAGTTTCTCATCACACAGAGGATGGCCCTCCATGGTTTTGCTTCCCCTCACCTTTGCGACCTCCTAACCTACTACCAACTTGCCCACTCCCTCTGCTCAGCGGGCTCCGGCCTGTTTCATGTCCCCCGCCATTGGCGGGCAGGCCTTCAGCCACTCTGTCCCCACCCTCTGGAACTCCCATCGCACAGTCCCTCCACCTCACCCCCTCCCTTGCCTCCTTCAAGACCCATCTCAAGACCCTACTCTTCAACGGTACCTTCGCCCTCCCCGATCCTGATCCCCAGCTCAGGTCTGAAACACTGATTGTCCAGTGCCTTGGGATGTCCTCCTGATGTGAAAGGCGCTATACAATGTAATTTTGTTGTGTTGTGTATATGTTTGGAATTGAATGTGGGTGTGTTTGTAGAGACAGTTTGTGAGTGTCTGTGTGTGTGTGCATGTATGTATATATATATATATATATATATAGTATATATGTGTGTGTGTGTTGGTGTTTATATGTATCTGTGTGGCCAACAATCCATCGAATCCACTGTTTGGGGCTGTTTGTGTGCAATGCTGTGTGTAAGTTAAGTCCGCAATCATCTACAAAACACTTTACTGTGAATCCTGCAAAGTGCTTTGAGGTAACCTCCTGAAGTGAATAATCCTTGCAAGAAAATTAGACTCTGGGACATTATAATAATAATAATGATAATAGTAATAATCCTTGCATTTGATATAGCATTTGATGTAGTGCCTTATCACTCTATTAAGTTCTCTGAGGCGCTACCCTGCATGGAGGGTGCTATATAAGTGCAAATTCTTGTTGTTATTACATCATTGAGACTTCTCTAAAAAGCACTTCAAGGAATATACTGTAAAGTGATTTGACTGTATATTTTGTACGCAAATGAAATGTGCTGTATCAAATGTAAGGATTATTACAATATAAGGATTCAGTAGCAATGCAAAGGGGTCCGTGGCCCACAGACAGTTTGCCTTGACCGACCACCAGTGTCTCCTCATTCCTCTCTCAGAGAGCTGGAGCGACGCTAAGCTTATTTCTCTGCTCCCTGCAGCACGTCTTGCAAGTGGCAGCACGTCTGGGTTGGGTGGATACCAGAAGAACAGCTCTCGTGGAGGTGGGGTGAGCAGGGCGGCCTCAGTGCTGAGTGCTTGTAATTGAACGACTAGACTTGTTGTGGCTCAGGACGATTCTCTTCCTTCGCTCTTTTAAAGTAACAAATTCAACAGGTTTAGCTCTACCTCTAGGTTACAGGTTATAGACGGTTTAACAGGCGGCTTTTAGTGGTGGCTTCACTGGCTAAGACTAGATGGAATTTCGGGTCCCTAATGCCGTGTGACTGCGATCATCCACGTGTGAGAAATTAAGTTTTTTTTTAACATAAAAACAACTTATTATTATAAATGCACGGTGTTAGCTGACACTTATTTGGACACTACTGAGCAGAAGCCAGGACTCGGGCCAGAGCGGTGAATGCAGTGCTTCTTTCACAAGAGCAATAGGCCCATAATTCAGGAGTGAGAGAGAGGGGGGGAGTCTGTGGTGTGAGTGAGGTATTCGTGCCTTTCACACCACAGACGCTCCTGAGTTACAGCTCTTTCCAGCTTGTGAATGAAGCTCAGTGTTCAGCAATCGTAGTGTTGAGTTTACCCCCTTGTTTATTTCTTCAGCACACAGAGAAATCGAACGTGTAAAAAAAACTTTGGTTCTCCCACCCATGTCCCTCTGCCCGGTGCACACTTGTACGTTTTTGATACTCGGGCAAGTGTAAAGGTTGATCAGGAGAGCGACCCCTTTTTCATCAGATTCCTAGGTCTAGTGCACTCGCCTCGCAAGTGAGAGGACCCAGATTTGATTCCCGAGCAGGGCGAAACATTAGGCAAGTTTCCTTCCTCCACACACCTCTGTTTACATAACAGTAAGTAGGAACCCGGTTGTTAATCAATTGGCGGATCGCTTTCCGGGGGAAATAATCCCTCGAAAAAAAGAGAGAAAAATTTGGTCATTCAATCCACAACTGTTTGTGGGACACTGCTGTGTACAGTTGGCTGCTGCGTTTTGCCCACAAATTACACACTGAATTCACTTTACAGTATATTCTGTGACGCGCTTTGAGACGTCGCAACAAAATGATAAGGCGCTATATCAAATGCAAGAGATTATTATAATAATAATAATCCTTGCATTTGATATAGCGCTTTTCACGTCTTTAGACGTCCCAAAGCGCTTCACAGAATATACTGTAAAGTGAATTGACTGTATATTTGTGGGCGAACGTGGCAGCCAATTGCGCACAGCAGTGTCCCACAAACAGTCGTAGATTGAAAATGACCAATTTATTATTGTTTTTTGTGAGCTCAGATTTTCAGATGGAAACCCAGCTCGGGGAATCAGCTCTCGAGGCCCCATCCATCAGGTCGGTATCTCTGGCCAGCTCACAGGGAAGGTAACTTTCACAAGGGAATCAGCTCTTTCTACTAGGCAGCACTGACTGGTTCCCAGGGAGGAGGTGTGAGACGTGCCTCCACTGACAAGTGCTGCATTGTTCTGGGTGTTGAGAGAGTTCAGGGAGTGCATTTTAACTCCACGGGGGGGAAGTGGCAGGTTAGCTGCAGCTCAAGTGATTGAACGAGTTGCGATGCTGAAGCCAGAAGACGCCTTTATTTAATTTCTGCCAATATTTCTCCTCCGATTGTTGTCGCCTGGGTGAAAATATTCTTTGGAGTGGTGTTGGGGCTGAAGGGCTGAGTGATCAGTCAGTCCCCTTTAAGACCAGCCTAGCCTCCGTACTGGCGTCATAGATGGCCGCCCCCCCCCCCCCCCCAACCCTTCACCCCTTTAAAGGGACTGGGATGGGAAAGCCCTGGGGAGGACCACACCACAGATAGTCCTCCGAACAGCCCTAGCCCATAGCCCCCTCTGACCCCCGTTTGCCGCTCTCCTAACCCATCGGTGGAACCCGTCCACTTCCAATCTGGCTGCTTGTTGGGACATCCTCACCTTTGATTAGCTGATTGATCTTTTAGTCAAGCCAGTGACTCACCTATCTTAAATGGGACCAGCCCTTTACCTGAGTTTACTCAGCCCCCAGGGGCACTGATACCAGCTATGGTTTAGCTGTGACCCACTAGTTGTGTTGAGGTGTTGACTGCACTGCCAGTGGAGCACTGTAATTTTTCAGTGTCAGACTTTATTTGTGCGTGGGCAGGAGGGTGGAGGTGGCGGTGTAAATGCGGATAGAAGGGAGACGGGGATGGGGGAGGGTGCTGCGACTCTGAAAAAAGTATTTCAGATAATACAGCACCGGAAAGAAAGGCTATTCTTTGTGGACGGTTCTGGAGCAGTTGTTTTGCTCTGTTTGCAAATTGACTGCCGGATTTGCCTACAAAATAATAATGACAATAATAATAATAATAATAATCCTTGTATTTGATATAGTGTTTTTC